ATCAGGGCAGCTTGAACATTTGTAAATCGACCTAGCTACATCTATAAAGAATTTTCACAAATAAAATATCATGCACCTTTCAGCACAAATTCAGAATTGATACAGTAAAGTCATATTATGAATTCAACTGCATCTTTCAGTTTGTCATCCTCTTCTTGGACTTCTCCAGGACATACAGTTTACAACTGTTTCTCCCCCTGAATTATTATATAATATGAAATGCATGAAGAAGCCCAGAATACAGAGAAAGTTCTGTTGATTTTTATCATTCTTAATTTAGGAAGTTCCTGACCAGAGTATGCAAGAAGAAATGACCTTGAACTTAATTTATTCATTTATTTCTGAATCAGTGCTTTGGTTGAGAGTTGATTGTGTAATACACAGTAAAGGTGGACAGGTAAACATCACTTGTAAAACAGCAACCTAATATATAGACATGGAGAATTTTACTTTTACCATTTGTTTTTGCTCAACAAGGTCTTTGTATTTAAATAGCACTACCACTGATGTGGCACCACTCAAATATATCCTTATACCTGTATATAGGTAGTTAAAGTCCTTGTTATGCATGAGTGAGAAATTTAATGAGGTGATCAGTCACTAGGTCCAGGTGAAATCAGAGTGTTACTACAGTGATTATAGATGGCAGACAATTCTAAAATGATCCATTTTTTATTGCGATACACTTGATTGGAAGTGAAATATTGTATATTAATTAAACATTATATATCATTATACAAGAACAAGTAAAAGTCTATAGATAAAACCAGATTAGTGGACACATTGAAGGATAATAAGTTGGCACATTTGTGATATTCATATTCACCAAAACTAAGGGACAGGCTCACTTTCACGGTCGTCTGTGTGCCGATGGTGCCCGCTTTCATGGTCATCCGTGTGCCACTGGGGCCCGCTTTTATGGTCACCTGTGTGCCGCTTGGGCCCGCTTTCACAGTCATCCATGTGCCACTGGGACTCGCTTTCACGGCTGTACATGTGCCGCTGGGGCTCGTTTTCACGGTCATCTGTGTGCCGCTGGGACTCGCTTTCACCGTCGTCTGTGTGCCGCTGGGGCCCGCTTTCACTGTCGTCTGTGTGCCGCTGGGGCTCGCTTTCACTGTCGTACGTGTGCCACTGGGGCTCGCTTTCTCTGTTATGCGTGTGTCGCTGGGGCCCGCTTTCACAGTCATCCATGTGCCGCTGGGGCTCGCTTTCACGGTCGTCTGTGTGCTGCTGGGGCTCGCTTTCACAGTCATCCATGTGCCGTTGGAGCCCGCTTTCACGGTCGTACGTGTGCCACTGGGGCTCGCTTTCTCGGTTGTACGTGTGCCGTTGGAGCCCGCTTTCACAGTCATCCATGTGCCACTGGGACTCGCTTTCACGGCTGTACATGTGCCGCTGGGGCTCGTTTTCACGGTCATCTGTGTGCCGCTGGGACTCGCTTTCACCGTCGTCTGTGTGCCGCTGGGGCCCGCTTTCACTGTCGTCTGTGTGCCGCTGGGGCTCGCTTTCACTGTCGTACGTGTGCCACTGGGGCTCGCTTTCTCTGTTATGCGTGTGTCGCTGGGGCCCGCTTTCACAGTCATCCATGTGCCGCTGGGGCTCGCTTTCACGGTCGTCTGTGTGCTGCTGGGGCTCGCTTTCACAGTCATCCATGTGCCGTTGGAGCCCGCTTTCACGGTCGTACGTGTGCCACTGGGGCTCGCTTTCTCGGTTGTACGTGTGTCGATGGGGCCCGCTTTCACAGTCATCCATGTGCCGCTGGGGCTCGCTTTCACAGTCGTACGTGTGCCACTGGGACTCGCTTTCATAGTTGTACATGTGCCGCTGGGGCTCGCTTTCACGGTTGTCCGTGTGCTGCTGGGGCTCGCTTTCACAGTTGTCAGTGTGCCGCTGTGGCCCGCTTTCATGGTTGTCCGTGTGCCAAGAGAGAGAGATAGCATGCTGAGGACTTTATACATTATGGAATCATTTTAGACTGAAATTTGGCATTATGATAAATTGTGGCTAAAAATCTTTCAAATGACTTAACATCATAATTAGCCAGGAGAATCATATGTAGGCCCCTTGGGCCTATTGTGGAATAACATTGTCAACATTAGAATTTGCACTGTTCCTTAGCTACTATAAACAAGGTCACTCTAGGTATGAGTCACTCCTCTGCATGTTTTGGCCTCTTCCAGCAGTACAAATCTGTTTGGGCAGCCATTTGCTTTCCCATGTTTAGGTTTCAAACATTGTATGTAAACTATAAATCATGGTCGTCTCACACCACGTAATCACAGTCTTTGTGTCTACTATATATTATGGATTGTAGCAGATCACGCATGATTTGTCTTAGGTAAACAGGTGCTCGTGTGAAAATGGCATTACATAGCCATAATGTGGACAGTTTGATGGCACATATTTACCCCGGCTGATCTCCAAGATTTTGATGGGTGAGGCAAGATTAAGAGGTCAGATTGACTCAAATTTCAGAAATCTTTCTCTCTAGACCCAAATATGGTACATGAATATAGGTGTCTTAACATGCTATAATGAACTCTTATTATATCCGAGAGAGGGTTAAGTTTACTATATAAGTTCATATAGGAAATTTACAACTTACAGCATAATTTGTTTTAATTAATAGAAATAATTCAGAATCGGTTAGAACTATAAACATGATGGAAGTTAATGCTCTTCACATTTTACAATAGTACTACATGTACAATGTAGATCAGGATATCACACCACTAACAAATTTCTATGACATGTTACAGTAACGAAAATAACAGCTTTGATAGATCTCCGGTGACCATAAAGGCCCTTAAGGTCCTTGTTATAGAACTCAGGTGACTTATCGTCCTACATGTAAAAAGGCCCTTAAGGTTCTTGTTATAGAACTCAGGTGACTGTTATCGTCCTGCATGTGAAAAGGCCCTTAAGGTTCTTGTTATAGAACTCAGGTGACTGTTATCGTCCTGCATGTGAAAAGGCCCTTAAGGTTCTTGTTATAGAACTCAGGTGACTGTTAAGGTTCTTGTTATAGAACTCAGGTGACTGTTATCGTCCTGCATGTGAAAAGGCCCTTAAGGTCCTTGTTATAGAACTCAGGTGACTGTTATCGTCCTGCATGTGAAAAGTCCCTTAAGGTTCTTGTTATAGAACTCAGGTGACTGTTATCGTCCTGCATGTGAAAAGTCCCTTAAGGTTCTTGTTATAGAACTCAGGTGACTGTTATCGTCCTGCATGTGAAAAGGCCCTTAAGGTTCTTGTTATAGAACTCAGGTGACTGTTATCGTCCTGCATGTGAAAAGGCCCTTAAGGTCCTTGTTATAGAACTCAGGTGACTGTTATCGTCCTGCATGTGAAAAGGCCCTTAAGGTTCTTGTTATAGAACTCAGGTGACTGTTATCGTCCTGCATGTGAAAAGGCCCTTAAGGTCCTTGTTATAGAACTTGTTATCGTTATGCATGTGAAAAGTCCCTTAAGGTTCTTGTTATAGAACTTGGGTGACTGTTATCGTCCTGCATGTGAAAAGGCCCTTAAGGTTCTTGTTATAGAACTTGGGTGACTGTTATCGTCCTGCATGTGAAAAGGCCCTTAAGGTCCTTGTTATAGAACTCAGGTGACTGTTATCGTCCTGCATGTGAAAAGGCCCTTAAGGTCCTTGTTATAGAACTCAGGTGACTGTTATCGTCCTGCATGTGAAAAGTCCCTTAAGGTTCTTGTTATAGAACTCAGGTGACTGTTATCGTCCTGCATGTGAAAAGGCCCTTAAGGTTCTTGTTATAGAACTTGGGTGACTGTTATCGTCCTGCATGTGAAAAGTCCCTTAAGGTTCTTGTTATAGAACTTGGGTGACTGTTATCGTCCTGCATGTGAAAAGGCCCTTAAGGTTCTTGTTATAGAACTTGGGTGACTGTTATCGTCCTGCATGGAAAAGGCCCTTAAGGTTCTTGTTATAGAACTCAGGTGACTGTTATCGTCCTGCATGTGAAAAGGCCCTTAAGGTCCTTGTTATAGAACTCAGGTGACTGTTATCGTCCTGCATGTGAAAAGTCCCTTAAGGTCCTTGTTATAGAACTTGGGTGACTTATCGTCCTGCATGTGAAAAGTCCCTTAAGGTTCTTGTTATAGAACTCAGGTGACTTATCGTCCTGCATGTGACCTCTGTTTATGATTTAGTTTTGAATGTCTTACAACTAAAACACTTCCATTTTCATCACTAGCAAAGAAACTCCTGTTTTTATGGCCTGTTTGTTTAATGCTGTGGGGATGGGGACAATGTAGGTGTTGCCTGTAATGCTGTGGGGATGGGGACAATGTAGGTGTTGCCTGTAATGCTGTGGGGATGGGGACAATGTAGGTGTTGCCTGTAATGCTGTGGGGATGGGGACAATGTAGGTGTTGCCTGTAATGCTGTGGGGATGGGGACAATGTAGGTGTTGCCTGTAATGCTGTGGGGATGGGGACAATGTAGGTGTTGCCTGTAATGCTGTGGGGATGGGGACAATTTAGGTGTTGCCTGTAATGCTGTGGGGATGGGGACAATGTAGGTGTTGCCTGTAATGCTGTGGGGATGGGGACAATTTAGGTGTTGCCTGTAATGCTGTGGGGATGGGGACAATGTAGGTGTTGCCTGTAATGCTGTGGGGATGGGGACAATGTAGGTGTTGCCTGTAATGCTGTGGGGATGGGGACAATGTAGGTGTTGCCTGTAATGCTGTGGGGATGGGGACAATGTAGGTGTTGCCTGTAATGCTGTGGGGATGGGGACAATGTAGGTGTTGCCTGTAATGCTATGGGGATGGGGACAATGTAGGTTTTGCCTGCTGCGTGTCTCGTCGAAACCTGAATGTCATCAATAATAGTATTTTGAATGAGATTGTGTCAAAGTTCTTATGCTAAAATCAATTTTATAAAGAATTATTTGAACATTTTATGCTTTGCAGCAGGACCATTTCATGTCTTGCAGACATTTCTGATTGAAAGATATCAACTTTGTTATCTTACAGATTGAGAGCTACAAATTGACTTTCAAAGAATCAGCAAAACCACGAACAGACACTGGCTCAGCGGTCTCCTCACCTCCCTCCCTTAAATCACCTCGCCCAGACAGCAGCATCTCCCATGACTCACAAGAACAGGAAGTGGCATCACCTGGCAACTTAGAAAACAGCTCAAAGATGATTTAAAAGTTAAGGTGATTCTACATCATTACAGAAGTCGATACAGATTAGTACAGACAAGATAAACCATTCTCGAGATTTCTCTGTAAAGACATTATTTAAAAAAATTACCTTTTTGATATAAGATTAATTTGTTATCATTGTTTTGACTTTTTTGCATGAGACAAATTTGTTCTGAATTTTACTGTGTTTTTAAATGGTCAGAAACCGTGATATAGGAAGTACAATTTAGTTAGGTCAGAAAATCCTGAATTAACAAGAAATTAATTTAAATGATTGTATGCAAGGAAAAACCTTGACAGGTTCAATGTAAACACATGTATTTTGGTATTTTAATAGTTTTTTCATAATTCTTCTCAGTAAACATGAAGAATTCATAATTCCATGCAGGCTATTGTCATCTCTTGTTACTCTGACCAAACTAACATACATGATTATCAAAGCAATTTTGTGGATTAATTCAATTTGTGACATTTAAATAAAGTATATTAGATTTTGATCACAGAGACTTAGAGCCTCAGAAAAGTACTCGATAGACCTACTTTGTAACACTTAATGGTGGACTTGTTGAATTTTTGAGTGATTTTGAAAAAAAAAGATGATTTGCTTACATATATATCAAAATTTAGCATCTCAGTTCCTTCAACATAGGAAAGATAGCAAGTGGGGCAAATTGTGGTTTATCAATGAATCACTTTCTTTCAGTGTCACAACCAGGATTGACAAGATGAATTATATAATGCCACATGTACCCACAAGTATGCTACAGGTATAATCTTGTAAATTGGTTTGGGGGTGTCAAGGACAGATAACTCTGTATCACATTTTGTAATTATTCTAATTATGCTGGGAGCAGGTTCAGTTAACAAAATGTGCTACTTAACAATATGTTATGAAGCTTGAGAGTCCATACACTATTCTTACCATTTTGCCAATGCATATAACAGGTTAACCTTATTTTGAGATACAGATATTCTGAAATTTGTTAGCAAGGGTGTTCATCTATCTGGGCCTACATTGAAAAAGTTTTGTAGTTTTCAAAAGTCATCAGAGTGTCCAATAACTATCAATTATATACAAGCATTAAAAATTGTTTTCCTTCCTGCTTCTACATCAACATAATCAAAGTTTTCATGACTTTTTAGAAAAACTATTCTCTAGGAATGAAACAAAACATCATGATCCCCCAGGAATTATGCAAACCAGAATGTCATAAAAACCACACCCTTTTCCTCCCCAACCCCCCAGAATGTTATAAAAACCACACCCTCTTCCTCCCCAACCCCCACCCACCCCCTAGATTATCATGATTCCAAATGAATGTCACAAAACAGAATATCATAATTCCCCATGAATATTACAAAATCTAATATCCTAATTCATGAATATTACAAAACACAATATCATAGTTCCCCATGAATATTACAAAATAGAATATCATATTTCCCCATGAATATTACAAAATAGAATATCATAGTTCCCCATGAATATTACAAAATAGAATATCATAATTCATGAATATTACAAAACAAAATATCATAGTTCCCCATGAATATTACAAAATAGAATATCATAGTTACCCATGAATATTACAAAAAAAAAATATCATAATTCCCCATAAATATTACAACAGAGTTCTCCATGACTATTATGAGTCTCAAGGTGATCTGTTGTGGTCATCCTTTGTCCAGTGCTGTACATCATGATTTTTCCAACATTGTTGACTTCTGGAAACACCCTGCACCAATTTTAACAAAATTTGCAGAAATCTTTCATGGTCAAAAGTGAATCAATATTTTTAATTATATGGTCCCAACCCCAAGGGGTCTGAGGGGTGAGGCCAAAAGGGGTCAAATTACCTCAGACATTTTCTTAACACCCAGATAATGGTAGAATCAAATACCATTCATGGATGGTAGGGTCTTAGGGGCTTTACCATAATTTACAAGGTTTGAGCATAATTGATGTTAATTCAAGTGTTGTTAGAATCTGATAGACATGGGATGATCACGTAATATTAGTTCACTTGTATGATGTAGATCAAGTCATCCGACTTTGTAAACGGGATGATTTCGATGATATACGATGAAAGAAGAACAACAGCATTTATAGAACTCAAGTGACTGTTAAGGCACCCTCGTTTTATGGTGGTTCATTTAAGTCAATTGTCATTCAACACTTCTGTAAGGGTCTTGGCCACAATTACTTTATTGGTTAAAAATTACCTATAACTGTTTATCAACTATTAAAGCAACACTAGCATCAAGCACCATTCATGCTCCAATACCTTATAAGGTATGCATATTATAAAGTATTTGATCCAGACTGATGAGAATAATCATTCACATGGTATGCTTGTGATGTTACGGTGTTTACTCTGCTTCCACCAATAGTCACATATAATTGTTGTGTAACAGAGCTTATTCTTCATCCCATTTATTTATAAACTTGTTTTCTCACCATAATTAAAAGCAATATCTACCACCTGTAACTGGCTTTGATTATAATAATTTGTTGTGTATTGCCAGCACACTGTATATGTTAAAATGGCCCTCTCTGGCTATGTAATGCTGTACGCTCTATGCTTGGCTTTTTGGTGCAGTCAGATGGATTTAATTTGTTTGCCTTATTTAGATATCTCACAATTTACTAAAAATAAGCAAGTCTTTACATAGGTGTCTAATTAAGTGAATACAAAAAGTCAAGTACTCACGAGAAATATTGACAATATTAACACTCTTTTTAAACACTTGAAAACATCACTATGGAAACACAATCAGTATTACTTTACCTGAGACAAAGTCTTGTGATATCAACCTTTTCTTTATTGTAAAATTTTAACTTTTTTGACTTCTTGGAAATCCCAGAACTACTTTCAATGAAATTTTGCAGTACATGATACCTTCCCTACCCCCAGAAACCCAAGGGACAGGGCCAAAAGGGTCAAATTGACTCAAATATAAAGAAAACCTTCTTCTCGGCATCCAGATATGATAGGATCAAATACTCTGCATGAATGGTAGAGCAGGTGCTTCATTAGAATTCTGATTTTCATGATCCTAGGACTGCACATGAATCTCCCAGGGGTACAGTTTATTATATGGAAATATTACATTTTTAGGACATCTGACCCGAAAGATCACTGACCAAAAGGCCTAGGGTGCTGAAATTTTAGGTCTGTATCATGCTGGGAAGATTAGCTACAAAGTATATTTCAATAAATGAGATTTTCAATATCATTGGAAGTAATATATTCTCAAAGAAGAAAAGGCCCGGGGTAATGACTTTGGAATATGCTGTAATGAATTGCTACCAAGAGTGTTCAAATGAATTACCTTGACCCACTTTCACGGATACATGGTTGAAATATGTTAAAATCTTTTGAAGTCTTTTCGAAATAATTAAAACACCAAAGATGTAAATATTGGGCTGGTGGCATGCTGGGATGAAGGACTACAATATTTGCTCAAATAAATGTGCTAAGAACTTAAAAGTTCCTTCTTCTCAACAAGCAATGGTCCTGTTTCATGTTTTTGCCTAGCAGCATGCTGAATGAACAGGCTTTAAAGTTTGCAGACATTTACTTACCAAACTAACAAAGGCTTCTGTATAACTAAATTGCAGAACTGGTGAGTGATTAAGGCCCATTGGGCCTCGTGATTTAAGGTTAGTCGAAAATCCAATATGGCCTACATCTTGAAAAACATATTTTAAATTTCTTCTCAAATTCCTCTATTGCCATTGAGCTGACTTTTTGTTGGAATATGGAGAAACTGAATTAAGAAGTAATCATGTCATTTTTTAAGTCAATAACATGTGAAAGCAATGCATTTTGGGTAATTATTTATTTCTTTTTTTTTCACTATATTAGAAATATTCATGATGTATTTGTTTGATTATTTTCTAAGGTTTATTTACAGTTATCGAGTAGGAAAAACAAAATCACCCATGTGCATTAAAATGTAAACAAATCCATGTGTTTGGTAAAAGTAGTTCCTGTAACATTTTCATACGCAAGGTCAAAGGTCAATGTTTCCATGTTAGTATCCAACCCATTTTAATCTGGTAATGTTGTATAGTGATAAAACTTTGCGAGTGTAAACATAAGTGTTTGGTCTGTTCCCTTTTGAGTTTGCCTGTGAATATGGGATAGATAAAATGCAGGAATGTATTGTCCTAGAGCAAAAGGGAATCAATTTGATGTAAATGATGGGTCTAGGCCCCCTGGGGAGAGGCACGGTCAAATAGAGGAAATAGAGCAAATCCCAAAAAATTCTTATGCTATAGAAATTTCAGGATTTTGTCCAAATTTGGCTTGAAGCATCCTTAGTTAAGTTTGTATTCCGTTGGGCTCCATCTGTCGTCTAGTGTCCATCGTTTGTGGTTGGTAATCATATCTTGGCACATTTCAATGAAAGCTCATGTGAATGACCAGTACTGGGTACTGAATTTGAATTTCTGTCTTGTTTCCATTGAAAGGGAAATTCAAGTTGACCACCATCTTCAGACTCTATTTTTTTTACTAATAACTCAGATTTTGCTTTAATGTTATTTAATCAAACTTAATTTATAATGATCAGTAGATGATTTTTTACAAGAGGTTTATTTCATGTTTATCAGAACTAAAACATGGCAACAGAACTAAAACATGGCAACCAGATTCTTATTTGTGGTCAAGAAAAATCATTTTTGCAGTATATGGAAATCATGGAAGAGAAAAAGTACTAGTGAATAAGATTAAGGATCATTTCAATGAGCAATTGAATTTTAATCAATTGTAATTTTTGCTCTGTTTGTTATACTGTGTAGATTTGCTGTTAGGCAATGATAAAGGGAATTCTGTTGACATCAGTTGTTATAAAAACTGTTTTGTGTAGAACACTCAGAATTTGCCATTAGTGGCCCACAAAGAGAATTTTTTGTTTATTTATAGCTTTATACCTGGTATGTCACTTTCCACTAGAAACTAACAAGTCATTTAAGCCTATTGTCTAACTCTAACTTAATCTTCTGGCTGGAAAAAATGAGCTATTGTCCGATTTCAATCAAAACATAGTCTATAGAAAGCTGTTTTCTCCAAGATAGCTCCAGAAATATACATATTTTGTTTTTAATTCAATTCACAGCCTCTCAATTTTTTTATTTTTTTTTTCACAATTATTAATTCAATGAATTTACTTGATCAGAATTCAGTATCATACTCAGCACATGCTATGCTCATGAAATGGAATTGACTCCATGAAAAATACAATATTACTATGGAGTTACTCAAATTAATGCTAATTTTACTTTTCTTCAACTCAGCAAAAATTGAAATTGAAACTGCCTCAATTAGTTGTTTTGATGGACGTGTATACCCAGGGTATCCTGATGGACGTGTATACCCAGGGTATCCTGATGGACGTGTATACCCAGGGTATCCTGATGGACGTGTATACTCAGGGTATCCTGTGTTTTGATGGACGTGTATACCCAGGGTATTCTGATGGACGTGTACAAACAGGGTATCCTGATGGAGGTGTATACCCAGGTTATCCTGATGGACGTGTATACCTAGGGTGTCCTGTGTTTTGATGGATATATACCCAGGGTATCCTGATGGATATCTGGTGATACCATTGAAGACATCTCTAATACTTTACACATTATTTTATTCTAATCAAAGTCAATCATATTTATTTAAAATTGATATTCTAATCTAATCTGGTATTATATATGGTATTTATATAAAAACATATATCATCATATTTTCACAATTTTAGACATACATATTCAAAGATTCTTTTCTAGTCTTAAACTATTTTGTGAATGAATTAATTTAGTTATATATGGTATTACAATTCTTTATCAGCCTATGTATAATGACAATAGAATTTGTTGGACAATGCAAGAACCAGAATCAGACAGAACTATTGTTTAAACTCGCTTGCCTTAGACCAAGTAATATGTATGCTTATTTTGTTGTTGCTTCTGAATACTAATAAAGAGACACAGGGTCATTATGATAGCCATATTGTTTAGAAAGTAATGATGGGATTCTTTTCCCTTGTTGAATGATGCAACCACCTAATTTATCACCTGACAAAAGCAACAAATAACTACAATCAAAGAAGCAAACTTACAAAAAGCCTACGGAGTTCATACAACTGTGGGTACGGAATTTCTTTATTCAACTGTGAAAGAGGCTGAGGGCCTTGGCCGTGTATCATTTGTAGCAGTTAGGCTAGAATGAAGGCCTGTTAAGTAGGTTGAAAAAAAGATCCCTAGATATAATGTTATTTTGAAAGTGATATTAGTAAAATTTTAAATGACTGTTTTTAGTGACAAGTAAGTACCTTTATGTAGCAAGATTGAATCAAGTGGTGTTTTTTTTCTTTCAAATTGATAATCTTACACTAGTTACTATTAATTATGATATTTTGTCATGTTTAAATATCCTTTTGGGTGCTACAAGCTTCTTGTTCAATGTTTATTAGCCCACCATCATCAGAAGGTGGGCTGTTGAAATTGCCATGCGTCCATGTTTCCTGTCTGTCAGTCCTTAAAACAATCCTTATTATTGCTATTTCGTGAGAAGTACTGGATGGATCTTTTTTCAACTTTCATATGTGGGTTTCCCTGGGTCCCAAGATATACATTGTCTCATTTTCGGAGTGATCCTAAAAAAAACATGGGCCAACAGGCGGCCAGTATTTATGTATTTTGACAGTAAAAGTTTGTTGTCACTATTTCTGAAGAAATAATTGATGGATCATTCTCAAATTCCATATGTAGAGACCCTTTGGTCCCTTGTACATTTTTATTTTGTGACAGATAAAGAACAAGCGTCCATGTTGGATTTGGACATATTCATTTGTTATTGCTTTTTCTGTAAATGGATCTTGTTTTTTTATTTCATGTGCAGGAACCTCTTTGCCCTTATTTATACGATGTGCCATTTTTAGACTGATCAGAAGAACAAAATGGCTGACAGATGGCCATCTTGGATTTTGACAATGAAAGTTTGTCATACATTGTAGCTGTTTCTTGGAAAGTACTGGATTGATCTGCCATAAATTTCATATGTAGTTTCTTTTCTCGCCCTAGTTGTGCCATTTCAATTTTCAGTCAATTTGGATAAACAAAATGGCCAACAAGGGCCTGAATTCTTATATTTTGACATTGAACGATTTTAGTGCTACTTCTTAATTCAGAAGCACCAGATAAAACTTCATATGTTGATTTTGTACGGTCCTTTGTATTAACCTTTCGATTTTTAGACTGCCAGAGAAAGAAATTACTGACAGGCAGCCATCTTTTATAGCTGAAAATTATTGGGTTTTTTTCTTGAGAAAAAATTCTAAAATTTTGTATAATTAAGAACAAATAAGAGGAAAGAAGAGAAAAGGAAGGAAAAGATCCAAGTTTTAAGATGAAGCACTGGTGGGCACCCAGATCCTTCTGCGATCTATAGATTGTTTGAGGAGCCCCTGTGTGATACTATGGTTTTGAAAGTCCATACTTTCTATGTAGTCAGTGTAGCTATAAATTGGATGATGTTAACAAGTGATATGATCAGAATGGCTTCCTATCAGTATACAGAGTTGTCTGCCCACCCCATGTGGTAAAACCACTTGTGAATCGTTTTTGGCATTACTGACAATCTGTAATGTCACGTGATGTTGATTACAGAGATCAGCTGATTGTTAAAGATGAATTGTTTATAATTTAGATGTGATTGTCATGACTTTTCCTTTACTTTTGATACTTTCCACGTGGTTCTTCACCAGATAGATATAGGGGTAAATCATGGTGAATATAGGGCTAGCAGGCCTTACTACTGTAGTGTGCTGGTATATTCACCTGTATCGTTGTCATGGTAACTGGTGATGGACTAGGTCTGTGTGAAAATAATCAAAAACGTGAAAGAAATGTTATGACAAACACATCTTAAGATGAAATTACTGAGAAATAATCTTTTTCAATAAGCTGATCTCTGTAATTAACATGAGAAATGCATATTCTAGCATTATAACACCCTTACTGCATGCACCAGGCAGAAAACTCTGTATATCAGTAGTTCACTTGTTTGAAATGTTGAGGCAGAGATGGTCAGGGGTTCCTCTAAACTCTGTGATTTATTGTTTAACTTCTGAATAGTTCTGACCTTGCACCACTTTATCTATATGCTTTGATATATGTATGTCTAATAAAATAATAGTATTGATGAAAATGGTGTTGTTATCATTGTAAAGAATTGTTAGATTTTAATCAACTGGAGATATAGTCCCTGCATACACATCAATCTTCAGAAAAAGCCAACTTTTTACAGCTGCCAGAAGTTACAGTAAATCCATAGCTTGGCTCAGAGTCCTCATATTTTGTATCAACCCTGACTCAGAATCATATTTTATATTAACGCTGGTTCAAAGTCATTATATTTTATATTAACGCTGGTTCGAAGCCATCATATTTTAAATTAACGCTGGTTCAAAGCTATCATATTTTATATTAACGCTGCTTCAAGGTCATAATATTTCATATTAACGCTGGTTCAAAGTCATAATATTTTATATTAACGCTGGTTCAAAGTCATAATATTTTATATTAACACTGGTTCAAAGTCCTCATAATTCATAATAACCCTAAAATGATTATATTTTCTAATAAACGAGATTCAAAGCCATCATATTTTATATTAACCCTAACTAAGATAATCATATTTCCTAATAATCCTGGTTCATCATATCGGAATGTTTCCATAAATACCAAGCATCACAAGGTAACAAAAGTCAAATTATTAAAAGTTTGGAATAACATGTTGACAATAAAATTAATGTATTTTCTCTCTCATTCCTCACATCCCTAAATTGTTATTTACATGTATCTGTTTAGAGATAACATACATGTAATAATCAGTGATATCAGCTAGTTATGATAACTCCAGAATTACTGTCTCCTACCTACAAACCATCTCACTGGGGTAGACTCGTACACCAATATGAGCTTCCTATGACAAACGAAGGGCGGTAACTCTGGAAGATCATAATGTACCGACAGAGTGAAAACGAAGGGCGGTAATACATTATTCTGTGGTCGACAAACTAACATAGAGAACCAGATCGCTTTATCAATGCGACATTTTTCAAACGTTACGGTAACAGTAAGGGTGTTTCTTGTGTTACGTTTGGTGAAAACTGTACAAAAGACACACAAGTGAATAGCACTTATTTACACAATTAAGAATTAGATATGGTAGAGTCACGTGTTTCGTACTTCTGGGACTCCTTAGAGATAAGATCGGAATGTAAAAACTGAAACAAAAGAAAACCTTGGTCAAATGTACCTGGTTTTAGTGGGAAAAACAACATTTAAGCTGATCATGTTGAAGGAAATGGGTTTTTTTTTGTAAATCACGTCTATTAAACAATAGTTAATAGTCAATGGTGCAGTGTGTGGTGACAGATATATATAACTGTTATCTACGTCCCTGGTAAAAACGCATGTCTGATATAATATTCATATACTTTACTTTGTTATCTATTTGAAAAAAAAGTCTTATTCAAATATCAAACAAATTATTGACGATGTAAAAAGGCGTATGAGCACGGTGAAATCAAACCAACCCCACACCTCTCAAACCAAATATCAATACCCCAGTACACTTACAAAGGAGATTTTGATGCCTTTCAACACTTAAACCAAAAACTTATCATTTAAAAAACCAACGCCGACGCCAGGGTGACAACATAAGTTCCCTCTCTCTTCTAGAGCTGAAAAACTAAGTATCAATACATGTGATGTGTACGACGTACTACACACACTACATCCCTACCCTCCACCCCCGCCCCCAGTAATAAATATATCAATAATTGTTTTAGGTGTGATGATCAAAGCATCAGATATACATCATGTATGACGAAAAATAGAGAAATGAAGAATCATGAAACAAGACTAGATAAATATGGTTTATTTCAAATGACATTCGTGCTGGCGATATTCTCCTCGGACTATATCTCAAACTGGGAAAAAATCTGTAGTCGTAAACATAATTCATTCTTCTACCATGAATCATTTATACATGTAAAACAGCTAGCAGCACTTTATTTTACAACTCAACAGAATCTTGGCATGTTCGTTACCCGGGACAAACATTTCACTTGTGTTCATTAAGGTAAAATATTTCAACAACAAGATAATACTACCTTGTAAAACACAATCATCTAAAGGAGATTTTTTTTTACGCCGAGACCCTTGTCATTACATATGTTTAGGAAAGAGGAAGGCTCTCCTGTAATCACCCGTAAATCAGAACCCACACATATAATTAACATATTAAAATCACCAACGAAAATCTACTATCTTCATATTGCGAAATATAATACTCTCAACATGAAATCTTGAGGCCGGTCTAAATTTTCCTTTTCTCTTGCATCAATTGCAAACCTTTGTATTAAATCTGGAATCAACATGACTTGTACGCATTGACCGTACAAGACATTATCAGATTATGGAACGTTTCTGGTTAGATAAATGAAAAAGTCAAGCTAATTATATGACTGAATGGTATCACAGTTTATTAGCTTATATGTAAGATCGTGGTAAGCAAATTTTATCGAAAAATTTTCAATGCATATGATTTCAAATTCATACAACATGGATCCGAATACATCTCGACAATAATCTGACTACACACACCATGCAAAGTTCACTTGCCGAAATACACAAGGTGTACGTTATAATATCTCAATCTCTGTTGACTGTTCCGAAAGGCCACCATTTTGTCAACACCAGGGCATATGCATGTTTGAGAAAATTCAGACTTGTAACGTTCCGAGCGACTCCTTAACAGCAAGCTGATACCGAATTGTTTAACAAAATCGTCTCCTAGGCTTGATTTTTTTTTGTTTTTTCTTAATTTTTCTTCGCCACAAACTGTATCAGAGTACCAAAGTATTGAGATATAGTGGCATCTTAAAACATTAAAAAAACCATAAATCTTGAATTTTCTCACTAAATCTACTGCAACGTTTTAAAAATCTGACACTTTGAATGAAATAATTTCGTTTTCTAGATTTTGTTTAATCGGTGACTTCTAGAGGGGGCGGGGAGATGAAATCTTGTATGACGCAGTAAACCGTGAAAATTTCCAATTTTTACACATTGCAGCTAGTTTAGGGTCTCATTTCTATTTTTTTTAATTCCAACAATATTTATACCTATCTGATTGTAAATACACAAGTTTCATCCACAAATGAGGTGTTCTGACCGAAGCGAGGATCGCGAGTTGTTTGTTTGTGCTAGGGGAAGTCACTCCTGCAGTCTGATGCATATTGAGGCGAGCATCGCGAGTCGTTTGTTTGTACTAGGGGAAGTCACTCCTGCAGCCTTGCAAAGAGGACGCGGTTCTACATTATAGCCCATTCTATCATTATCATTATTTATTAAAAATGTTTGTTAATTTTATTTAAATAATAAAAGAAAAAGGATAATTAATTGTTTGCTTATTTTGTTCCTACAACTCAATCCAATATATCTTATTGTTCTGCAACAATGAACATTCCCTCACCTCCAAATAAAACTATCACTTAAAAAATTCACATTTGACTCGTCACTAACAAATCTATTAGTTTAAACAATATTTTTAATGCAATGCTCCACAATATTACGTATGGAATGGGAAATCAAGCTTAGAACTAATATTAATTCCTTTCCCAAGTACATATAAGAAGAAATGAATGTTCGGAGCTGGAAACACCTTTCTTATTTGGAATGAATAATAATAAAGTTGAACAATTAACATATATACACGTAGTTAATCATGGGGCCTTACATTATCTATCTGTAGATACAAGTTATTTTATATTGTTAAATGATGCCGCACCGTAGACAAGTTACATGTTTAAAAACAATGGACACAAAACCTTAGCGAAAACGTTTACTTGGTTTTATATAGTTATGGACTGTCAAAAACATTTCATCGTTTTTCTGCTTTAAGTTTGCATACTTTCCCCAAAGAAGTGTTTTTTCAGTTACTTTGATGTCCAATCTTAATACTGTATTTACTCTGATAGTAAAAAAAATGCTGGGTACTTTCAACTAATCAGGAGGTACACAATGGCCTGTCCTCTAAAGTCCCTATATATAAGTGTTGATTACTACATTCCAGTCTTAACGTCAATCAGCGGTGAACAATCTGTCACCAACTCAGTCTGGAAATTATTTCATTAAGTTGTTAATACTGGATATGCCTTAACTCAGTAGTAATGACTTATGTTAGTTGTCTTACAGTTGTGTGAAATATCTTCAGAATTAACAGCATTTTTTTGTGTGTATATTCTCAGTTATTTTGCTAAACTCGATGGCTGACATATTTCAAAAAAATTCATTATGTATTGGAATGTTTGTGCTTGTGTACCAAGTTATATAGGAATATATACAATACAATAAAAGACAACAACTTTATGGCAGGTTCTAATATAAATAAAGAAGTTGAAGATACTATTATCAAAATCTATATAATTTTGTAATTAAAACTTTTTATTTGTTAACTTTTCGTTTTAATTCAAATTTGACTTGTGTTTCATTTGTTTATCAATTGGTGAACATTGGAGTATTGCATCATAAACCGTAGACATGGAAACAAGTATTAGCTTTACCAGATTACCTCGTTCAACATTTCCGTTAACATGATCACCCAAGGTGGAATAACTCCTTGATATCCAGACTACTTAAATAATTTCCTTACTAATCTCCAGTATGTTTACTAGTGTGAAGGTTATCAAGTACACACCACCACTATCATAAAACATTTCTCTGGTATGCTTTTTCCTATCATTGACTTTATTCTGTTGTCATTTTAATTTCTCGATATTGGAAATGGATCTAATACGTTTAACTACTTTATGTAGAGTATCACGTGACATAATAACTTTTCCGAGATCGGAATTTATCCATTACTTATCATGAGGTCTTATGTAAACTTTCTATATAGGAATACAGCTCTTAGCAAATACTAAAAACTGTCCAGTAAATCAAACGCTTGCCATATCAACTGAAATAAAATTTTGAAACAATGTAACCCAGACAAACGTATCTATTGCTATACATAACTGGTTAAAATCAGCATGTTTATATGCCCAAACCTCTCGAGTATAAATACGAGAAAGATTAACGGTTACGGACAAGTATACTACGCATGCGTCGTGATTACTGATACCACGATCAACAGCA